TACAATGTTTTTTAATCAACCAGGCATCTCGACTTCAGTCAATTTCGCACCGACGTGGCGTAGCTTCCCTCTGTCTTTTCTACAAATATTTTTATGGCAACTGACGAGCTTTTTTTTCTCTGGGGCCCGACTACATAAATTTAAGTATGCTACTAGGTTGGCAACTAGATCCCACCCGTTTACTGTTGAAATAGCTAGATGCAACTGCCACTTCTACTCCTCGCATTTCCCACACGTGGAACTCACTAACGTTTACTTACTTCCCTGAAAATTACAATCTTCAAAAATGTAAACGCAACGTCAATCGCTATGTTCTGTCTTCTTGAATCCCATTCTTTCCTCAATCCACCTTATACTCAGTCTTTTCTTTCATTTTCAATCTCTGTAACCACCTGCGCACTAGTAGCATTTCCGCCTTGCTTAGAGTGAAATTATTTTTTAAAAAATTACTAATAGTCCCCAAATTGTACCGAAATTTGCTTTGTTTAATTATACTCTCAAAAGAAAATTTACCTATTTTTGGTTATTGCTTTTAAACCGGGTGATGGGCTAAATTAATATAAGCTCGAACCCTATGAGGCCATACTCCCAAGCATTATCTCTCCTTCGGAAGTGGTGTGTGTGTGTGTGGTGGGGGGGTTATTACCCAGTCCCTGCAGCATACCCAAAAGGACCGAAATCACACTTTAACCCCAATTTTGTGTCACAATATGAGCCAGTGGCCATACCAATATTTACCTGGCCTAACCAGGCTGGAAGAGGACGTAAAATCAATATTAGCTTTTGGTGTGTGTGTGTGTGTGTGTGTGTGTGTGTGTGTGTGTGTGTGTGTGTGTGTGTGTGTGTGTGTGTGTAGGGAGCATTACTTGCGTTTTGAAAACGATATTTATTTTCTTCTTTCTCCTTTACAGTGTACAAGGCCCGGGGCAACTCGAGGTAGAGGGTTACGTTGAGGAGTAGTTTAAATGGATAGGAGGGGAAGATATCGGTTAACTCTAGACTTGAACAGGTTAAGATTGTAGCGGTTGGGAAAACATCCTCTTGGGATTCTGTTCCACAGGATAGTGGTTCACAGGAAGAAGTTGTTTAAACGGAACTTACTTCTCACCGATGGAATACGGAGGGAATGTGGGTGGGGGTTTGCTACAATATAAATGTCATGGCGGGTCTAGCCGTGAAGGTTAAACCTGGTGGAACCAAGGAATGTGTTTCGCCCAAGCACATTCCATGGACGTAGCGATAGAACAGTGAGAGGCTCGCCACATCCCCACCTTTTGAGAGAGAAGCTGGAGAGTGGGAAACTAATGCTCCTTCAACAAAGATTATGAGACGCTTTTGGACTCTACCGAGATTGGAAAGTGAGGAGCTGGGCAGCTCCTGCTCAAATATGACAAAAGTACTTCATTTATGCCTACTCTGGCTATTATGAAGGTAGAAGATAACATGAGGAGTCAGGTACTTATTGGATCAGTACAGGAAGCCGTTCATTTGACCTGCATCTTTAGCGATGGATCGTATATAGGAGTTCACCTTGAGGTCGGGTGTGATTTTGGGGCCTAATATTCTCTGAAGGCACCGTGCCTCCTCGAGGGTACATCAGACTCGTCTCGCGAATGTAAGGGTAAAATTGAAAAGTTTCCAAAATAAGTATTCTAATAAGTTAGAACAAGAACTAAAATGTATTAGTCAGATATTCTGTTATCTTCTCTCCCGTCTGGACATTGCACAGTCAAGTGTAAATGCGAACATTGCACAATTTCGTAGGCCAAAACGTTTTGGCCCTTGTTATATAGGAATAAAGTGTCGCTGCCGACACTTGAGTTTGAACATAGATCGCCAGTGAGCAAATACAGGTCATCCCATTATTGAATTAAGTAGACCACGTGACCATAGAGGAAAAGCATTAGGAAGTCGCGTGACTTCTAAGTAATCGCATTTCTAGTCTATCCTCCATTACTATACGGGTCACCATTTCTACTCTATCCTCCATTACTATACGGGTCACCATTTCTACTCTATCCTCTAGTACTATACGGACCGCTATTCTCTACTCTATTCACTATATTATTTCTCTATTCAGATCACTATAGGGCTTACTTGTCGAGCGAATATTATCGAGCAAGTACTATTAGTGCAGATTTATTCGAAGGCGTCTGACACCAGTACTGTTAAACGGCGTTACTATAGTTGTATCTGCGATTACAAAGTCTCTACTACAACGAGCATCACAAAAGTGACAACGAGTATTCGTTGACATTACAAAAGTCCTGAAAAATGTCTTATCTATTTAAGACTGCCATAGATTGTTGAGACTGGCACGATTTTTGCAAAATAAATATCGGTCACTATTTCACAATGTTATTTTTCATCTCGGCCGATGCTGAAATCGACTCGCGAGGATCGCCTATCTTTAAAAGAAGTGCTGTTATTCATTCTTTTAAATGTCAGTGCGACGCTGATTATATGGGCAGGGCAACTGGTCTATTTTTGAGAGGAGAATTTCTCAACATATTCCGTCATTTATCAGGAGAGTTTAGCTGACTAATAATTTACATATGCTTATTGCATCCGGGCTTTTTTTTATCGTGGAGCAGCCGATTGTTGTGCAGATCGCACTTGGAATTTCATTCCAAATTGCTTGAGTCAATTTTCATATATCCGAGTAGTCTCCCTTGTTTTAACAAAAGCAATAACTGCTAGAACACAATGTGATCTGCGCATAAATATTCGGCAAACATGGGCTTTCATGTCCGAAAACAAAAAACGGAGTGTCTAAAGGACGGTCTTCCATTGACATCGCTATTATTTTAACTACCTTCATTCCTTGTAAACCGATTCGAACTTTATAATATGGTAAATAATGTTTTACTTATAGCTGGTCCACATATTTTATTAATTTAATGAATTTTTATAAATGTATGAATAAAAATTCTTTGTATATTTATATTTTTATAAATTGGTGAATAAATAAATACTACATTGCATTAGTTCTAATTATATTCGGTTTTAAAATGTAAATGAACAATTTAATAAATAGTGTTTAATATATTTGTTGTAAATTCTCAAGAAAAAAATGTATAAATTATCATTTGATCATATGTTTAGGTTTTATTACAATTTTAATAATCGCTTTTAAAAACAATAAACATTGCCGTAGAGTGAAGGTAGTTAAAATAATAGTGGTGTCAAGGTAAAACCATCGGGCACAAATATCCATGTTTGCCAAATATTAGTTATATATTAGTACTACTACAGTAGTACCTTTTTTATTCGGTGCGTACTTTTATTTTACTAGTCTCGATCGTGTTTAAAAAGACGTCCTAAAAAAAATACACGTTTTCACCTTCCTTGCTCCCACAAAGGCCAGTCGTCATTAAAATTTCCCGCTACTGCACAAAACTTACAGCTACCTGGATGTTATTCTACAAAACTCGAAACGCTATTACAGTTGGCTATTTGTTTATTTATTTTCGTTCTGTCTAGAATCAAAGGTTGAACTTAGAAGACATTTAAGTAAAAGATAATTGTATAGAAAAGACTTTTGAAGTAAGCAATTTCGATGATTAGACTAATCAAGCATTGTGTAACCGCTGTAGACGTATTATTTAAAGAAATACGTAGACAAAAGCAAATAAGTTATAGTGAGTCTCTAAGAAGGAAAATGGATGCCAGTTTCTTTCAAGAATGGGTCATCCAATCTTTTAAACATTTTAAACAGAGTAAGAGGCACAGTTTGTGGGAAAGATAATAGTTAACCCTAGACAGGTTAAGATTGTAGTGATCGAGGAAGCATCCTTTTGGGTTACGGTTCCACAAAACAGCGATTCGTGGGAAGAAGCAGCTCGTGTTGAATTTACATCTCCCCCGTCCGACCATTAGGCTTTGTAAATGACCCCCCCCCCATAAACACTGTAAATGAACATACCCTATGAACGCGACAGGCACAAAGCGGTAACTACCAAGCAGTCAGACGGGGTGAAGCATACTTCTTTTTCATTCTCTCACTTCACACCTAGTACACTGCACATTCGACCCGCTAAAGTATACCACTAAACCAGACATTTTTTATAACTTGTATATAAAAATAAATCTTTGGTCATTTATCTAAACAAGCCTCCAGGTTCGTGTCTTCAACCAACCAACGTCCAAGCACAAGTTTAACACATCTGCACCTGGCTTCTGGGCAGCGTTATCAAAACGGACCTATTTCGAATTGTAAGAAGACAGAATGCATGATTGTAAGCCAAAGGACAGGTCCTCATATATTAGTGAATACTGGACAATCTCTTCACATATTAAGAAACTTGAGACAACAGAAATATGGTTCTACAAAAGGATGCTGACGATAACATAGATTGAACCTCTGAGAAACGGTGAAGCTTTTGAAAAATAAAATCGGAACTAAAAGGACACATACTTACAATAAGAAAGAGACAATTGAAATTTCTAGGGTACAATAAGGAGGGAGAACTTAGAAAAGTTGAATGTTAATGGGACAGAGGAAAACAGATAACATACCTAACGAGATTGTGTAGTTGGCATAGCAGTGATTAGGGGAGATAATAAAGAGACAAACGTTGCCAACAGCAACAAGAAGTTGTGGCGAACAACGATCCCCCACGTCATATATGGACACAATACGCAAAAGTTTTGACAATGTATTCAAATTCTAACGCTTAGTAATAATCCATCCTGTTCTGAGAAACGTTATCTATAAAGATTTCTTGGTTAGTAGTGATAATTTATTTAAAAGAATTACTGTGAAAGATTTAGACATAATTTGGGTGCGTAATGGAAACATTTCAGAAAGGAAGACATGAACACAAATATATATCTGAACTACTGCTCCTTAGTGTGAAATTTCAAGTTAACTATAATTATCTGTACTGTACTTTATCCCGGAAATTGATATCGGGCGCTTTATTTCGAAAGATTGCTTATCAATATGCATATCTGAACAGAAATTATACACAAATAAATAAAAGCTCCACAGTCTAATCATGGTAGCGATAACAGTTAACTTGACGAAAAATACAGCAGTATTAATAATTAATTCATTCACACGTACGACAATTACTTACATGTACGTTTTGTTTCTGGCCATCTGTATCTATTACTTCAGCTTTATATAAATTATTGCTTTCAAGCAGTAATTTGTAAAACAGAAGTAATAGATAGCATTTTTAAAGTAATACCTGTCCCTGGTCTTATCCATCTCTGAACATTAACGTTTTCAGGATTATCTATCTATCTATCTATCTATCTATCTATCTATCTATCTATCTATCTATCTATCTATCTATCTATCTCATGTTGTCTGTCTGTGTGTCTGTCGTGGGCGTTGTTACCTCGCCCAGGTCGCATTTCTCACCCGATTTCGATGCGGTTTTCACCACAAGTTTGCAAAGGACATGACGGAGCCCGATTTTTGAGTTCGGACTCAGGTTCCGAAAAAATCGATAATCAAAAACATCTTCTTACAGAAGAAATGATCGCATTTCAACCAAATTTGACACCCTCTTAGAGTCTACTATTAGAAGTGTTGTCCAGAAGTTTCATGACCACGGACCCCTAAACAGCGCAGAAAATCGATAAAACCCCAAAACCGATACGCCCAGATTGCGCCTGAACCGCATGTCAGTTTTTAGCGAAACAGAGTGCAAGTCGACAATCGGTCAACCCTTAAAAATGTTTTTCCGGTTGGGTATTTCCTAAATGCAGATTAATTTAAGGTCACGCTATGCGCAGGAAAGAACAGGTCAGTGCGTGCAGTGGAGTGGAAGAAAACATTTGACTTCAAATTCTGGAATGGATGCAGGGCCATTAAAATTCGGCTTTTTTATCCCTGCTACCAGGTCTGACTTTGAGCCACAAATGACATATTCGACTTTGTCAACACTTTTGCTTTAATCGTCGCATCTTACCAAAATAAGCACTTCCTTTATTCGCGTCTTTACTGAAAAAACCCGCATAAGTGCTGAGTGAAAATGGTTCCGCCCTCAGCAGTCCATTTTCCAATTCTTTAAACCTTTTCCCCTAGCCAAGGTCGCATCCCAGACCTGACGAGGAGTTTTTGCGCTAAAACAGCAGGGCTTCTTCCTAATCCATTTCAAAGCTAATGCCGGCAAACGGTTAGCGGCTTTTCGTTGTCGCACAAACCAAACGAGCAAACGCTTCATTGGAGATCCTTGCATTCTCATCGCCGGCATCACGTGCGTTAGAGCCAAGCTGCATATGCAGCAGGCAGCTTGACTCCGTTTACGGCCAAGCCTTGCGCCTGCCAAATCATGCACGCGTGAGTGAATGCGCGCTAGCATCTTCCATTTTGCGTGAGCTCATTCATTGGTCTAAGTCATGGCCATTGTCCAGGCTACACCAATCAATGATAAGTCACGCTCCCTGTAAATACCTTCAGCGCGGCTGCATCCGCACTCACGTCTTGATTTGATCGCTATTAACGCATCTGTCCTTGGGTAATTGACAGCTTCCTTCTACCGCAAGTTACCTATTTGCTTAAACGTTTGCATTACCCATTTTATCTCCGCGTGCTGCCTTTACTGCGCAGCCCAGTCCATCTTAGCGTTCCATACCTATTTCTACCTTTTCGTAGTTCAGTTTTGCTATTAGACAGTTAACTGCTGTCGCAAGTTACTGCCTTTACTCCGCGGCCCAGTACACCTCAGTGTTTCACTACTTTTTAACCTTCAACGCTTCAACGTTTTGGTTGCGTAACCTCTTCCTACAGCGTCGTTTTCGTGCTGCCAGAATGCACGGCCCATGGCTAGGAGAAGCTTTTTCTATACCGCTCTACTGCATTTTTAGTTTTCGTATACAACGAGGTTGCACCGCTTCAGCTTCGGCATCAATTTCTATTCGCATTCTTACACAGCATTTCTACAACACTTTAAATGACTCCTACACAACGAACATCCGCACGTCAGTAACTGAAGACCCCTAATACCGTTAAACTTACACATGCAGAACAGGCGACTGCGGAGGAGCACATAATAACTCCGGTTACAGATGATAATATAGCGTCTACTTCAAACTCTGCTTTGCTCTCTTCTGCGTGCCGTGGCGATGACCAACCCGGCAGCTCTGCAAAGGCTGCAAAAACACCCAGGCGAGGCAACCTGAGCAGGCGTTCTAAAAAAGCCTCACCGGCTAAGGGGAAACAGGAGCAGGATTCCATTGAGTGCGCCTCCTTGGGGGAGAAGCGGCTAGCGTCTACTTCGACCTCTGCTTTGCACTCTTCTGAGTGCCTTGGCGATGACCGACCCGGCAGCTTTGCTAAGCGTGCCAAAATACCATGGCCAGGCAACCTTAGCAGGCGTTCTAAAAGAGCCTCTGCGGCAAAGAGAAAGCGGGAGGAGGAAACCGAGGTAGAGGCCTCTTTGAGGCTTTCTAGTCAATCTCAACGGAGGCAGTATGTTTTGTCACATGAAACGATTGGTGAGCGTAACTACTGTATGTACTGCAAATCGGTTTACACATATTCGTTGAAAAGTAAGAGGAAACTACCTAAAGGCTTGCATGACAACAAAAAAGCGGCTTCATCACAAGCGCTTTTGCGGTCTCTTTTGCCGCATCGAAAAGCTACTCGCAATGCAGCCGACGCCGCTGCAACTTCCATTCGACGGTCCCCGGAGACCACAGCTGAGAAAACCGCACGTAACGAAGCTAAAGCTGCGGCAACGCCCATTCGACGGTCCCAGGAATCCATGGCTGAGAAAACCGCACGCCATGCAGCCGACGCCGCTGCAACTTCTGCTGCAAGGGCGTCGGAAAGTTCTGCGCAAAAGCGCACAAGGCGGCAACGCGATGCAATTTCAACTTCCGCTGCTAGACCTGTAGAAGGACCTACTGAAAGACTTGAAAGGTTGCAGACTGTTAACCAGCGCCGCCATGCACAGCCAGGGCTCTGTAGCCCACCAAAGCAGTTTTGGTTTAAGCTGGCGTTCAACTATGAGCCAGTTTTGAGGCTTTCCGGTCGTAAAGACCTCCAAATAGGATTCATGTCAGTTGTCTGTGGACATTGCAATGCCAAAAAAATGGCCTGGAGAGTCTGCAGGTTTGTGTTGTTCAGATGGTAAGGTACAGTTGCCATCTTTTCAAGAGCTACCTGCCCGTTGAAAGCTCTGTTGGAGGTTCCAGTCCAGACTCCAAACATTTCCGCTCAAAAATCAGACAATACAATTGTGCCTTCCAGATGACCTCTTTTGGTGGTAATTCTGTCCGCGAAGTCGGTTGGAATCACACCTTCAAGGTTCAAGGTCAGGTTTACCACCGGATTGGGTGTCTTTTGCCGGAAACTGCCACTGATTCGGCCTTTCTACAAATATACTTCATCACTGACTATAATCAACAGGCAGATGCCTGCATTTTCATTATTCCCGAGAACGATACAGGCCAGGACAATCATCCTCGCACGGATATCATAATGAGTCTCCAACAAATGCTACACGAGACAAACCGCTATGTCCGCAGTTTAAAGTATGCTCTCGAAAATAACACTTCTGATTTCATTATTGTAATTGATGCTGACAAACGGCCTCAGGGAGAGCACGAACGTCGTTACAATGCTCCCGCAAGTAACAAAGTTTCCGTCATTGTCAGCGGTGATCAGCACAACAGACGTGACATTGTTATCGAATCACGCGGCAGTGGGCTTCGAAGAATCAGTGAAACGCACCGGTCCTACGATGCACTGCAATACCCACTTCTCTTCCCTTACGGAGAAGATGGGTACCACTTTGGCATTCTGCAAAATGGGTCCACCTTAAGAACAGTGTCTTGCAGGGCTTTCTACGCCTACCTATTGATGGTACATGAGGGTGCATTCAATCATCTTCATCGAAGACAGCAACTTTTCCATCAATTCATAGTAGACATGGCTGCTAAGATGGAATCCGAAAGACTCTGTTACATTAGATTGAATCAGACCAAGTTGCGCTGCGACTCTTACATTCGCCTCCGTGATGCTTTACGAAATGAGGCTGATCCATGAAATATAGGCAAAAAATACTACCTGCAACGTTCACAGGCAGTCCACGTTACATGCACGCGAGGACGCAAACGCGATGACATACATTCGTAAGTACGGCCGACCAGACCTATTCATAACTTTCACCTGTAACCCAAAATGGTACGCAATTGCTAAAGAACTTATGCCAGGGCAATCGGCCTACGACCGTCCAGACCTCATTGCGCGCGTTTACCATCTGAAGTTAGCAAAGCTAATGGATGTGATTACAAAGGGCCAGGTTTTGGGGGCTGTTTGCTGTCGCATGCACACTATTGAGTGGCAGAACGCGGCCTGCCTCACGCTCATATACTAATTTGGCTGTGCGACAAGATTGAGGCCACAGAAATCGATCATCTCATTTCTGCTGAAATTTCTGATCCGTCGGCTGACCCTGAATTGTACGAAATAGTGACAACCAACATGATTCATAGTCCCTGCGGGTTGCATTACAATTACACCAGCTGTCACAACACCGACGGCAAATGCACCCGGCAGTACCCACGAGATTTCGTGAGCGAAAAACAGGGGCGATGGTTATCCACAATGGCGAAGGAGTCCCGCTGAGGGAGGATTTACAGCCGTGGGCCACCAATCTTCTAACAAAAGCGTTCAATGCGCACATCAATGTCGAATATTGCCATTCAGTTGCTCCAAAGCATGTATGCAATTATATCAACAAAGGGACTGATGCTGCAATATTTGGATAGGCAGGAAGGTTCCGTAGACGAAATCCAGGACTTCCTTGCAGGGCGCGTCATTACTGTGAAGGGCCATTGACACATATACAGCTTCCCCATCCACAACTTCCAATGTATAGAAAACAAGCACTTCGTTAGTTTTTCTGCGGATACACCAATGGATATGGTACGCAAATACCAACCCCGACCGATTACGGCGTTCTTCAAAATCGATGTGCGAGACCCCTTCGTGCAGCAAAAAATCTATAAAAAGCTCCGGTTCGACCCAGGCCATCAGCTGTCAGTCTTTGACTTTTTTTCACGCCCAGGCTACAATTAACGTCAAATGTCGATTCAACTTCCGACATTTACGGCGCCAATTTGTAACGGAGACAGATTTTCAATTTGAACTCAGGCTTTCAAAAAATTGGTAAATCGGCTGGTACTCCGGTATTTGGGCGGATTACATTTTAAAATTTCGGGCGTTCTTTACAATTCAACCAGAAATTCCTACGCGGCCCAGTTAGAGATGCCTTGCATAGAATGCCATGTGACTCCGTCGTAACTCAAAAATCGATACAAACCTCCGTGTTGACCATGACCTCAGCAGTCCATTTCCCTCTTCTTTAAACTTTGTTCTTTCTCCCAGGCCGCATCCCAGATCCGATTTTTCAATTTACGTCATTGTGTCATGCCGGAGCCCGATTTTTTATTTGGGACTCGAACTTTGTAAAAAAAAAATGATTAACTCACAGGTGATACGGATTTTGGTGGTTTTAAGTTGAATATCTCGCCTGCACTACGCGGCCCAGTACATCTAAGCTTTTCACCTCATTTTAGACTCTGTGTAGTAGACTTTGCGTTGTTAAACACTTTTGAGCTCTTTTTATTTGAACTTAAAATCGGTTCAGTGTATGGTTTCCAAAGTACCGGGTTAACAAAACAAGGGCAACAACAACCCCTCCCAAGTAATATGACCAGTCTCAATATTTCAGGAAAATGGGTTGGGTGTGAAAAAGTATTTGTTGTTAACGTTCTTTTTTCATTCGGTTTTTCCAGATACGAGTCCTTTTTTAAAGCTGATCGTTTTGTGTTCATTTTGTTTAGTTCTTTTTTAGTAACAGATTTAATGTTTAGTATAGAGCTTAGAAAAAATTCAAAAGTAAGGCATCTAGCAACATCAGCACGGCAAAGGGCACTCCTTTATGTATGTAAAATGTAACGGTAAACGTCATCATTTATTTTACCCTGGCTCAATTACTAATTTTGGGTATTGCAACATCAGATTCGTTCTGCCAGTTACCCCTACCTGTTAACAGGCCGCCTCTCCGCATAATTCGCTCCATGATGTGATTTTAATAACAAATGGAGTATATCCGGACGTAGATCTTACTTTTATAATAGCAACGAAGTTTGCATTAGCCAATCAGAATTTATTTGTCTGCTCTCTACAGGTATAAGATCAACGGCGTGAATTTCGCGCGCTTTCCAGTTTTGCTTTTCCTGCACATGCGCCAATGCTATGGTTAGTCCTTTTCTTTTTCATTTATTAAAAAAAAGAAAAACGGAAGATACCTTGCGGTATTAATTATTATCATATTATATATTATGTTCACAACGTGCGTCCATGCATTCACTTACAAAAAAACCCCAAAAAACTAACAAACAAGTGAATGCTGTGCCGCAGGACTTTATTGTTACCGACAGTCAAATTAACGATGAGAAGCTCCATCGTGGGGAGACCATATTACACACTATTGACATTAAATCCGATGGCTTCATGGGTTCGAAATCAATTTGATGCTTTCTTGATGACGTACCCTACAGCGTAACACTGTTTATACGTTTAGGTAACCCAACACATATTCTCCTCTGCGCATCGTCATTCTCCTCTCCAAAGTTTCCACCATAGTAAGCGGGACTTCATATAGCTGAAGCGGTCATAGTAATCGAGGTAATAATGAGTGTTGAAATACCCATGCTTTAAAAACCAACCTGGCAGGCCTGATTTATCAACTTTTAATAAAGCCGTCTCTAGGTAGAAAGGGGCGGTAGCTTTCTGACTACCATCGAAAGTCTTGCCAAAATTCTTGATTGGTTTCTCTGAAATCGTTGAGATATTTGTTCCCGTGACAGTAAATCTATATTTGTCGGTCACCTGGCCTTTTTCATTCACTAAGAGATCTTGATTTATTTGGTTTAAATTTCATCCTAGCCCAGTTAATGTTCCTTTCAAGACTTCTCAAGAGCCACTTTCCACGGAGTTTGTTATGCCTGTAAAGTCATCCATGTAAGCTCTTATTGGTGGCTGCCCCACCCGCGACTCTGACTGGAGTCCACGCCACTCCCTCTCTGTGGCTTTGATAATCATATTCATAGCTAAGGCAAGGAATGCTGCCGATATTGTACAGCCGGTTATTATACCTCTTTCAAGTCAATGATTAAATTGCCAACGTGGTGCCTTTATAATGCTTCACCCACGAACTTGTGTGGACGCGTTTTCGAGGTCCAACAATAAGACCTTTAACTCACCCTTGTTCTTTCTGGCTTCTCTCAGAAGTTGCGTCAGTACTCCTGTGTGTTCCAGGCATTCCAGCGATGCCACCCTTTCGGAGTGACGAGTTAATGGAGCAGTTATTGTCACAGTAGTAATAGAGATCCGGTGACGATAATATATATATATATACATACATACATACATACACACACATTTCTTTTTCCTTTATCCTCTATATTTCACGTTTTAAAAACAACTTCCAAGAAAGGAAATTATCTCCATTTATTAAAATCTCTCGGTCTGAAGATATATATGTGTGTGTGTGTGTGTGTATAGGTATGTAGAAAAATAGGAAAGAACACATTAGGTAAATAATCCAGGGTTCTTTAGTATTTTTATTTTTTAAAAATAAAGTGCTCGATACAGAAGTAGAGCTTAGATTTTATTTATTTTTTTTTTTCGGGCAGCCTCCGCAAGTCAGCCAGCCGGTCTTCGTATAAAAATTAAAATACACACACACACACACACACACACACATATATATATATATATATAAAACATGAATCATTCATACAAAAAACATATGTAGAATTTAATGATATAAATTGCGAGAATACATCTTCGCAAACAAATTTAATAAATTACATTAACCCCGAACCTGCAGATAAATGTTATGATCCCTGTTTATAAATTCCAGTTGCATAAGGTCTTATATCTGTTCTTTGTATGAAAGATTCATGTAATGTAAATTGAACTGCACCACATGATATATATATATATATATATATATATATAACACCCACACAACAATCTTCTCATTGATGACATCTATTTATTTTTTTTACCTCTACAAATAACAATCCGTCATTTAAATGTTAGCTTTGGTGGCCACAGCTTTTATTTTAGATAAACTACAATAAGCTATATTTCAGTACAAAATATCAAAGCATTATTATTCTATCAATATATTAAAAAAAAATCTAATGTTCGAGGCTAAAGTTGAGGCTTCTATTCCCGGAAATTAGATCTAATTTCTCAGAAACTTATTTATTTCTCACTGACAATCCCTTTTAATCGTCCTCGTTTCGGATAAGAAAAAAAAAAAAAATGTTAAATGTTTTAAAATTTTCATGGTTGGCACTTAAAGCCTGGTCGTGGATCAAAGAACGATCAAGGGAACTATATGATGAAACTTCATAGAAACATTTCGTGATAAAAGTGTATATTATGTTTCTAAAGATAGAAGCTTTTAGAGATAATCTTTCATATCTCTAAGTCTACCCTTCGCCCAAGCATAGAATATTGGTGCCACGCATGGGCCAGTTCTCCTGGTGTATATTTAGAGATTCTTAATAAAATCCAAAGAAGAGTCGGCAATATTATTGGTCCTGACCTGGTGTCATTGCTTCAGTCATTTTCCTGCCATCGAAATGTAGTTTTCCTGTACTTTTTCTATAAAACTGTTCAGATGAACTCTTCGCTATGGTAGAGACTTTATGAATTTAAGAGCAATACTAGATTGGCGGCAATGTCTCGTCAATTCACAGCTGAATTGACTAGATGTAACCGTAAATCATATGCTAACAGTTTCTCCCCCCACTCTGAACTCTTTCGGCTCCGTACTATCCAGAAAAATTACATCTTTAGAAATTTAAATGCAATCTCAATCGTTATCTACCATTTTGATTACTCTTCTAATGTTCTCACTCCTTAATAAATGTTTGTATTTTTTCTTATTCTTTAACACCAAGCAACCAATTGTGACTCACTTGCTTCACTGCTGTGAAATGATTAAAAAAAAAAAAAACAACAAAATAAAAGAAATATCAAGTCATAATGATTTATTTTTTTATTTTTTTAGTTACAAAAATACTCAGTGAACAAATGTCCCATATATATTTATATAGTCATCAAAAGCAAAAAAGCAGTTGCAATTCATTATGATTTTAATTGGTTCGATTATATTAAGGGAAGTTGTTGTTGTTTACTTTATGTGGAACATTTAGATGTGATGAGAAAGAGAATGTAAAAAAAATTACATATAAAAGTTACAATAAAAATATATCAAGTTAAGGAAAACAGAAAAGGCGGCGGTGAACTTAGATGATTCTAGTTGTCTTAAGCCCGGACAATACATTGCGGGGTCGGTTTCACTTCCTGTAAAAAGAAACAAATATTTCGTCATTATCAAAAATCAGCACTGACGTTTTATCAAGAGAGGCTTTGTAATATCAGCATTAAAAGAAGCACTTTAAAAATATTGACAAATAAATTGGGTTCAAAGTTCATGTGAATTCAATAATGATTCCTTTAAGTTGATTACAGTTTAGTGTTTGAGAATTTTTGTCAATGTGGTAATTAAATAGCACATCCCTTGTCTCCCATGTAAGCATCCATCACAATAAAATAAAGGTTTTTTTCAGCACCAAAGCTGAATTTGTCAAATAAAATTTCTTAGAGTTTACTATATTACAATCAAATAACCTAATATTACGCAGTATTTAACAAACATACCTTTGTCCGACATGAGGAAGAACCCAGTGCATATCAAAGAGACTACAATGATTTGTTCAACCTCTAGTAGTTAGATAACTATTAACTTTAAAAATATCTGAATGACAGATTTTAAAATTGAGGCACGGTTTCTTTTTAAATCATTTTTCTCTTCCCCTTCGAAAGCAAACTAAGGTGAAATTACTCCACTTGAATCAATTTAAGAAATGTATTTCACCGACCAAACAGGTTTCTTTTTTGTTTTAAGTTAAATAAACTTAGGAAACGATATGCTAAGTATATGGAATATATCAAGTAAAACGCCGCAAAACAAAATCTGTTATGTGGGTGAATGCTGGGGCTAAGATATTAAAATTTAAAGATCCATGGTTTTAACATTTTTTTAAATATATTATTCTATCGTGACTATATTTCACTTTGAATTTAGAAGTACAATCTGATGTAGCGATACTAGTTGTCAGCAGATACCTCGTTAAAGGAAACATCTGAAAGATGTTACAGAAATGGTTTTAACAATTATAGTCTCGATAAAAAAAGGGTCATTTGAATGAAGTGGACCTCACAAGAAACATGTCAAATGACCCTGTCAAACGAGGTCAGCTGAGTGGAGCGAACTTGGAGGACTTTTTTTGGACGAGGGCTGACAGGACAAAGAAAACAGTTTATCTATAAGACAGTGGCCCCTAGCAGCTAAAACCGCGACATGAAAGTAATGTGCACGCCGATTAGACAGTTTGACCCCTCACCTCGCTAGTCTACAGCCCACACCTACGAGAAGGTTACTACGGAATAAAATATGCTAACTGCTACAATTTCGCCACATGGTTTTATTTTGTGGGTAACGCTCGTGGCCAAACAGTTGCTTTCCACGGATTAAGCCACGAGTGTTCGATTGGGAAAAGCTGCGCCCTGAGAAAGAACATTGTGTCTGACCTGAGCTGTAATGCTACACTTTGTTTTTCGTCTGTACTTATTTTCTGGAATGAGATCTACAGATTTTTCTTGAATATGAGATTTGCATAAGTTTTAAACAAATGAACTAAAAATGTAGGCGATGTTTTGATTTATTTTAAATATTAACGGCACCGATGCTTTCAGACAAATGATAAAGTTTAGCTCAATAGAATTGTCAGATTGGGATCAAGATAAATTTAGGTTTCAGAAAAAATGTGAGGTGCTGAAGCCTCTCTTCCATTTCATAACGTCGTGTTTAAGGTTCGCCACCATCTCGTCGTATAATTTTTTTTCAATACCTGACTATCTAGTGACATGTCGACATCCAGTCACAGTTTCGAATTAAGTAGTCATCTGTCATTTTGTTCTACAGAAAACTGATGGAAGATTACACTATTAAAAAAAAAAAAAAAAAAAAAAATGAAAATCAGTTAAATGAGAAGTAATAACGAATATATTTTGTTAAAACCTGAGAGTCCTGCCATACTTAGCTTCAAACTCAGTCTCTAGTTACTGTTTACATCAGAGGGTTTTAGTAGGTTTCCTTGTGAGTGTGTGATATTTTGGTAAATGCAGGATTTGGGGTGGGAAGAGGGATGTATTCTTGTGTAGAATGGGTAAATTGTAAAGATAAGTTTAGGATAGTGACGACCAGTCTAACCCCACTTCCCCTTTGACCTTGTGCAATAATTTTATTTAAAGAACAATAATTACAGTGTCATGTTAAGCCACTTTCTGCCCATCCTTTGATTGTCGTGTTGCACACACACTTTCGTTGTAATAAAAAAAAAAAAAAATTTAAAAAAAAAAAAAAAAAAAAATGTCGAAGTTGGTTCTTTTTCAGTTCATTCTCAGAAATGTGGTTTGATATTGTTTTACTTTCATTCTGGCACCTAGAAAAATTATGACTACGAGTTCGATCCTCACTGGGTGCCCCATACTTTCGGCCTTGCGCCGCATCTAAGCTACGCTTAGAAAAATCATTGTTTTACTTTCATGACACTTGTACGATTTAATAAGTATTTAAGTATCACTGGCCACTTCAATTTTCTGTGTATCAGTTGATAACATGAGAGGGTGAACTAGACCTTATAGTCAACTTTTACTTTGTTTTTAAGCCATACATGAACAATTTTCTACAAACATTTTTATTCTAAGGTATTTAAGGATTCTAACAAGACATATATTTTAAACATTTTAAATCCATATAAGCTATATTTCGAGGGATCAGAATCTGCAAGATTGTTTTAAAAATCAGTTTATCCCAAGCAAGGCGATAAAGCCACGAAGACGCAAGGGGGTTACTGAGAATGAAAGAATCTGAGGAAAAGATCGTTTAAAAATCAGGAAGAGACGGTTGGAATTTCTAAGGCACACAATGAAAGAGGGCTTGAAAAATTTGATACTCACAGGATAGAGGAAAACAACGCATAACATACTTCGTGAGCTTGAGTAAATGGATGGCGGAACAACGTTTAGGAGAAATAACAAAAAGACGACATTAGGAGTTACGGTTACTTCTGGTAATTTCAACAGTAAAATGAGGAGATTTAACTGTCAAGTTAGCACTGCTAGCAAAGAGGAAAGCTCATAACAATTGCCATAAAACTTTATAGAAAAGAACACAGAATCTACGTTAGGACGGTGGGAAAGTGAAGCAGAGATGCCAAGTTAGAGTCGATAATGTTCCCGATTCTTTGGATTTTGACAAGAATCTCTGGATGTATAGCAGTAGCACTAGATATATATTTAATTTGGCAGCTATTCAGGATTTGACCTATTTAAATAAAGAAATGCTCTGAATATTGTAGTAGCGTATTATATGACTTCATGGATTATTAATTTATTCTATAATTTATTGCCGATTCATAGATTTGTATTTATGGTTTATCAAAGTTTTGGCGGTTATTTTAAGCAAATAAATTTTTTGGGGGAGATACTGATTTCTTATTAATTAACACATATCTGTGGAGAAAGGAGATGGATTCATCTTTGTGCGAAAGTGAATATAACGAACCTAACGGGATTTAGAACCTTTGCTCCCGGTTTCCAATTCCAAGCAGTTATCCATACATCACTCATATATCATCGAAGTTTACAGTAGTTGATATTCCTAAGCAGTCACTTATCTTGGTACTGACCAGTACTAACATCGGTGTTCCTACGAGTGCCGGAGTTTCAACGGGATATATCCGTAAGCCATTTATCGTCGAGTATGCACGCCAAAAAACACCTGCAGTGAAAGCTACCTCCAACGACAGAATTGTACACTACAAGATGGGTTCCACCTCTTAGTATTTGCTTTTGCCGGGATTCTTTTACTTTTATCCGGATCTTTTTGCCTTTGCTTCACATACACAAAATCAAAAGACACCACCAACAAAACCACAAAAAACAAATAGCAAAAAACAAAAACGCAACAAAAAATAAACCAACAACAACAACAAAGCAACCACACACACCAGTTAATAACAGTTAAGCAGTTGTTTTTATATTTGGTAATTCACAAATGTAGCAGGGAAAAATGGTCGGCTCACAGTACCGCTCCAGTAAGTACCGGACTCCTGGTACTATCCTCTACCTTCATAAGAGCCATAGCAAGCCTAAAATGGAGTACTGCTGCCATATTTGGGCAGAAACTGCCCAGTCCTCATTATCCAGTCTCGAGAGAATCCAAAAGTGTCTCCGCGTCCTTGTGGGCGATGAATTATCTTCCACCCTACAACCTTTCTCTTACAGGCGAAAAGTCGTATGCTTCTCACTGCTGTATCACTATTTCCATAGAAAATGTTCAGACAAACTACATTCCTTTGTTCCACCAGTTTTAACCTTCACAGTTAAGACCCGACATGTTATGCACATTGTTGCGATCTACCCTAATTCTCTTCGTATTCGATCGGTGAGAAGTTACATTCGAACAGCTTCTTCCCGCGAAGATCTGCTCTGTGGAACCAGGATTATTTTTTCCCCGAATCACTAGAATCTTAATCTTTTCAAGTCTAGGTATAATCGTTATCTTCCCCACATATCCGCATAAACCGTGCCGCTGACTAACTCTCTACATCAAGTGGCTCCCAGCACTTGTACAGATTGAACCAAACTAAAAGAAAAAATTCTTAATCGGTTCAATAAACAGCTTTTAAACAGGTAAGAAGCTATTACCGATTCGACGGACCACCCCAAATCTGATCAATATGATGGTTGGTCAAGCCATCATAATTTCAGAATTCCTTGGTTGGGTTGAGAACTTTTCAGCACTTCGTAACCTGGTCAGTTTTTAAAAAAAGTGCCTTATCTCTTTCAGGATGTAGGCGATCATGGCTCTTCATACCTTCTTGCTCTTTGTAACTAAGCAATATTTATCCACTTATTCTTCCAAATCTATTCTGCAAGCCATCTTTCCTAATTTTACTCAAAACTTCCTCTTTGCTTATGTTCTGTCCATAGTATTCTCAGTATCTTTCTGTAGAACCACATCTGTTGCCTCAAGATTCCTCTTCATCTGTGAGGAAATCGTTCAGCAATTCACTACTATATGGGGGGGATTGGTATTATATAGCAATTTACTATAGCGTAGCTCAGATCTGGAACACACGGTAAAGATGGAACTCACCAATAGGTTGTAATTGAACTAGCGAGACAAGATTACTACCAATTACACCGTGTCGAAGTACCCAGGATTGATATAT